GGGGCTGTGGCGTGCCCTGCCGTGAATAATTTAAAGGGGCCGCGCCTGCGGCAATGGGCTGAACGCTAGCGGAGTTGGCGCAGTGTGGACCCTGGCTGCGGGCCCCTGGGTGAGTCTGGGTTTCCTTCGCGCCCGCAGAGGCGGTCGTTCAAGGGTCATTAGCGAGCCCTTGGCTTTACAAGATCTGTCCTCCGCCGATTCCCGGTAGCTCTCGACTTGGACGCTTCCATCTCCCCAGCTCCCGGCAGGTGTTTTCGCACCGGTATCCAGGTGCGGCCGAAGGTAGAAGGGGACTAGTCCCCCGCGGGTTTTCTAGGTAACGTCTCAAAGGCCCAGTGACTCCCCAAATTTCCATTAATACTCTAATGGCGCGAGAAACAGCCTCAGCCTCCCAGAAAAGTCTCAGTAATATTCCAGCATTCTTCAGTATCATGCTTGAAAGACTCTAGGGACATGCCCACCCAGCGCCTGGTTTTCCCAGTAATAGCCCTATATTCCTCAGAATCTCTTAACTTTACAGTGACACCCCACCCCAACCCTCTGGAATTACAGCGTCCCTGGTTGTCTCCCAGCAATGGCGCCAGCATGGTTCCCAGAGACCCAGTGATGCTCCGCACCATCCGAGACCCCATAACTTTACTATTACGTGACAGTAAATCTACAGCATCAACCAGTAACACCTTGAGGACCCACCCCACTCCGAGCTCCCCAGGATATTTCTGAGACCGTGGCATTGTCCTACGACCCCTTGTGCTGGAGGTCCCTGCAGCACTCTCGCGTGCCCCCGACCCTAGGTCTCTCCGGAGCCAGGCTTGGGCCGGGAGCCAGGCATCTCCTCGACCCCAAGACTCGTGAGCCCAGTTTTCCTGGGGTGGGGCATCCAGTCATCGCAGGGGTTGCGGGGGTGTGGCCTAGGAGTCTGTGGTCCAGGATTGATGAATCCCGCAGAGGCTGGGGAGGCGGCCACCTGCTGGAGGGAGTCAAACCCTTCAGGGACTTGTTCTCTGTCTGGTGACAGTGGGTGTCCAGCCACCTGCCCTTTGGTCCCAGGGTGGGGTAGGCAAGTGGAACATCTGGTCGGCCCGGTGCGTAGGTAGAGGAGCCTCGCAGGGAGCCCAGGACCCACCTCACTCCTTAGTCCGGGCCCCAGGTCAATCTACTCCACCCCACTGGTCCAAAGAGCACCCCCAGCCGTCCCCCCAGCCTGCAGAGGAGAAGCCCCCGCAGCCAGCACGAAGGGGGCAGGGCTTGTGCTAAGGGGCGGGGCTTGCAGCAGGGGAAGGGCGGGCCCAGGGAGATGACTGGCTACGGGTTCCTCCCGCTTCTTATTCTCCAGGACTCCGGACTACCAGAACTGTCGCTCAGCCTGAAGCAACTAATGGAGGCCCCGCTGCAAACAGGAATGGTAAGAGTTGGGGTTTGTGCGGAGCCGCGGGGACTACAACTCCCGACGTGCTCAGCGCGCATGAACACCGTCCCGCGCGAACCAGAATGCGTCTGTTCAGGCGGAACTACGTTTCCCGGCGTGCACTGCGGGCCGCCGAGCCCTTAGAAAGAGTTGTGCCCCACCGGAGAGAGCAGCGCTGGCCCGTTTTGCAGATGCAGACATCGAGGCCCGAGCGGGCTGTGACTTCGGGGGTGGACTTGGCTCAGCGGGAAGGGGTCCAGGGCGTCCCTGCCCCCGAGGAAGGCTTGGCGGGACGAGGATGTGATGCGCAGCCAGTACCGTTCGTCCCGCAGGTGCTGGGCGTGATGATCGGGGCTGGAGTTGCGGTGCTGGTCACGGCGGTGCTCATCCTCCTGCTGGTGCGGAGACTTCGAGTACCGAGTGAGGACCCGGAGGGCCTTCTGGGGAGGCTGAGGGGTGGGGATTTGCTGGAGACTGCGCGCAGCGTCCGGCTCTCTGGCCGTGCGGAGTGTGCGTAGAACTTAGAATACCCCTCTGCACTTATCCCCCAGAAACCCCAGCCCCGGATGGCCCGCGGTATCGGTTCCGGAAGAGAGACAAAGTGCTTTTCTATGGCCGGAAGATTATGCGGAAGGTAAGTCTGGGACCCCCATGGGGCTCCCGCTGGCCACGCAGAGGCCCTGCCCTTTCCTTAGTTACACTTCTTAGTAAGCGCGCCCCCCTCCTTGATCAAGGGCCTTTGGATATGCACCCTCTCTTCCCTAGGGTCTGAACTGGCAGTTGACGCATCTCCCCACCCCACCCTTAATCCTCCCAGGTGTCACAATCCACTTCTTCCCTGGTGGACGCCTCCGTCTCCACCACTTCGCGGCCACGCATGAAGAAGAAACTTAAGATGCTCAACATTGCCAAGAAGTAAGGATGTGCTGTGTGTACGTGGTGCTGGGAGCTATGTCTGGGGCTTTTTGAGTGATCAACCTACACCCCTACACTGAAGGGTGTATCTTCTTTGAACTCTGTGGACTGTCCTAGGAGTCGTCCCACATTAGAGGGACTATTCCAGAGTTCTCCTGCACCAGACAGGCTGCCTCTGTCCCCTGAGGGCTTTCTCAGTGATGTTCCCCTGCCACAGGGTTATCTGTGAGTTATTTAATTCCTGATCACTATCTCGGATGTCTCTTTGGACACTTAGGAGTCAAATCTGGGGTCTCCCCATGCGAGAGGATTTATGCCAGGGTGTCTCACTGGGGCTATCTCAGGGTGTTTCTGTGACCTGCTCGAGGAGCTGTCTCTCGGGGTTATCTCAAGGATCTCTCTCCATCAGAAAGCATCTCTCTATGTCACCTCCCTTGGAGTTCTTCCCACACTAAGGAGGTTGTGTCTGGGGTTTCTGTTCCCCAGTAGTTATCTCAAGAATCTTTTTGCAGGGGAGGGTGTAGCTCAAGTGATAAGAGTCCATGCTTAGCATGCACAAGGTCCTGAGTTCCGTCCCCAGTACTTCCTCTAAAAATAAATAAACCCAATTATCTCCCCCCTTGCCAAAATTAAGTAATTAAATAATACAATAATTAAACACACACACACACACACAAGAATCTCCTTGCAGATCTTTTTAAGTTGAGAGCTGACTCTGGGGTCTCCTGACGTCATAGGGTCTACTTGAAGGTCTGTCTCAAGTTCTCCTCACACTGAGGGGCCAGGTCACAGCTGTCCACCACCAACAGGTGTGTGCAGTCACACCGTTCTGTATGACTTGAGTAGAAAGAGGAGCTGGATTTTCTATGATCCATTGAGGGTCTACATCTCGTATCTCTCCACCTTGTGGGGACCATCTCCATGTCTGTACACCTTCGAGGAGCTACCCTGGTGTCATCATGACCTTGAGAGGGCTATCTCAGCTCTCTCTGACCTGGGCAAGGGGCTAGCCCAAGGACCTCCCTGATCAGAAGGGGAGCCGTCTCTGGATTCCTCTATAACATGGAGTTTAACTCAGGGGTCTGCTCATACTGGACAGTCTCCCTCAGGCATCCTGTGACCAGTGGATGGACTGTCTCAATATTAACTGTGACTTGGGGGAGGAGCTCCCCCAGGCCCATGATAGCTGAGGGGCTGTACCTGGATTCTCCACATGTACCAAGGGCTGTCTCAGGCGTCTCTGTAACCATCAGAGGGGCTATCTCAGGGTTGTCTGAGACTTGGAAGGAAAGGCCATCTGAGCAATCTTTGCAAAGAGCAGAGAGACTGTGTCTGGGGTCTCCTGATTGAATGGAAACTCCCCCAGAGGTCTGCCTACATGAGGGAGGCTCTATCAGGAGCCTAGTCTATGATTGCTAGACAGGCTATCTTTAGGGTCCCATGGCAAAACAGAGGTGCTTTTTCTGGGATCTGCTCCTATCTTGGAAGCTGTGTCAGGGTTCTGCCTAACTAGAGGGTCCAACTGAGGAACCTGTGACTCGTAAAGGGTGATCTCAGGGTTTTACATCAAGGGTCAGCGAGTTTTTTCTTTATAGGACCGCATCTTGGGCTTTGCAGGCTG